GCTTTACTATTGTCTACTGTATTTACGGCTCCGCATAAATATAATCATATACTCATGCGGCAAATTGGTCAAAATTTTGCGTAATGTGTTTGAAAAAAAAGTAATATGAAATTAATAGGTATTTCAATGACTAATCTTCTTGAAAAAGCCATGAACTATGATGTAAATGATATTAGGCTTCCAAATATGATAAGCAGTGTATGCAAAAAAATTGTTACAAAAAAATTGTTTACAAAAAAATTTGTAAACAATTGCATTGTTTACAAAAAAAAAAGATATTGGAATGAATAAGATTACATTTTCTGATTACTCTACATTTACTGTACCATTAGACACACTTAATTAAAAAGTGATTGACTGTACATTATGCAAATTTGCCAGTATACATGATTTTACAAGAGGGAATTCAAATAGCAAAAGGGAAAATAAAAATAATGTGATTGATAAATCTAACGTTTGTTCCAAGTAACTTATAACGCTGTCAAAAGGAAAAACGAATTTTTATACACTTTTTATATAGTATTAAAAATATGAGTGCTATCATTGATTTTTAATCACATAAAACAAGAAAATTTACTGTGTGATATAGTGAAAGTTCTTTTTGAAGTTGTTATTTCAGAAAATGATATCAATTTTTCAATTTTTTGCGTATCAAAAATAAGGGTTGCAACCGCCAAAGTCAAACACACCAAAATTTGTTTTACTATTTGAAAAAATTATTATTTACTTGATTTACTAAGAAATATTGATTAGAAGGAAAGTTATCTGAAAAGAACTATTTCTGGGGATGAACTTTGAGGGTGAATTTCACCTCTTAAATATGTTTTTTCCATCGATAAAAAAAATACTAATCTCTTGTTTTTTAATATACAACATTTACTAGGATTATCAAAATTGGTGATTTCGGAGTTAGAATCACTTCAAAATCATTGTTGATATTAAAAATTGAACTAATTAAAGAATATCTTTTGTATAATAATAATCAGAATGTGACGAGGCCCTAGCTGAGATGGCTGGCCCTGTCTGGCTCGGTCTCGTTCCCACGATTCGTTTTTTTGCTGAGACCATAGTGGGTTAGTGGAAGCCAATTGGGAGCGAGAGTGGCAGCTTCAAGAAGGGAAAGAGAAGATACGTCGCGTAAAATGAAAGAACGAACGCGAGTGACTCGCTGTGATCCGGTCGCGAGTGCGAAGCCACCGATGTTGCTGAAGCCGGCACCCGCACGGTGGGGAGAGAGAGGAAAATTTGAACTCGGCATTTGATCAGAGGATATCGACCGTGACGGCCGAAAGCACATGCGCTGAAGAAGAGAGCCATCGATTTCCAAAATCGCTGATTACACAGCAACCAAATCCTGGAACAAGGACGACGATAGGTATAGAGTGGCAAGGAAAGTTTATGATCCAGGGCACGGAGACTTCGAGCCAGCCTGCTATCGACCTGCCAGCAACTGCAGCATCACTTCAGCCAGCAGCCTTCTTCAGTCAAGTCGTCTCTCTCTCTCTTGTGCGTTTTTCCGCAGGAGCGAAGGCAAGCGGCCACAGAGAATAACATGTAAATCCACGTCGTCTCTATTTTTGTACGAGTTAGCGGAATAAATATAATCGAAGGTTATTGAGACTCATTTCTGTGTGCGCCTGTTATTCTCGTCCTCTCGAGCTAACACCCAGCCCGCCAACTTCGTGACGAGGCCCAGCGTCATATTTGCAGTGAAGCGAATGAGCCTCCCGCACCTTTCTTTTAAAAATAGTTAGTAGCACGGCACTTGGGCACTGGCCTAGAATGTGACAAGTGCGAATAATCGACTACGAGTATCTCCTTTACGCGCTTAATAAATTATAGCGTTACAAGAATATCTGTTACAAATACTGACAATAATTTGTGAGTATCCGTAATTTGATTAAAAATCATTTTTTGTCATATACTGATCACCCTAAAACACTTTCCTGCATCATATTCCTGCGTTATATTAATTTACTATTCGATAAAGAAAATAAAACTGAAGAAGGTATAGTACCGATCTCGAAAATTAATTTCGAAACTTAAACCTTTATGGTATACTATAATGCTTTTCTAAACTACACTAATATTTTATACAAATACACATGAGTCTATTAATTACAATCATACGACGAGAAACATCTGCTATATTTTGCCCTATGAGTAGTACCAACGTAATAGCGTGCCTTTCTTTCCCAGTGAGCATCAAAATAGGAAAATTTTATACCCTGGAAAAGTTTATTCCTCGCGCTGAAATACTTTTAAAAAATATCCATAGCAATAATTCGCGTCCGTTTTGAATTAAAAATTTTAATTATATGTTCTTCAAGTATTATATTTTCTTATTGTATAGTAAAAAGTCGATTTATTCACTCATTTATTAAGGGATACTCACTTAACCGATAAAATAATGTAATATAATGATATCAATGAAAATATGCATAAATAAAGGAGATAAGAAAATTGTAAACGGCCCATTCCATATACATTCAACCAGTAAATAAAATCGATGTCTGCAATCTTTCTGAAACTTTGGGATATTAATCTACATTGAATTTCTTTAGATACGTGTTTTTTCTTTTGTGCGAAAACCCGTTTTGAAGCCCTGTTGCTATAACAAAGCTGATAGGGTATAAGCGTTATTTCAAATGCAAAAATAACTACTGTGTTTTAAATGGTCGCCATTTTCACCAAAATCATCGTACACCAACCATTTTTTTTCAAATGTGAGGGATTTAAACAGCTTTCATTTTCTGCATTCAGATTTTGATTAGTAAAAAAATTTTTTTTTTTATTTAAAAAAACCAAAAAAACTACTTTTTTGAAAATCGAATTTCTCAAAAAATACATCTTCAATTTTTATGAATTTTGGATATGTTTTTCAGGACGTCATAAGCTATCTTTCTGCCAAGCGGCAATATGCTATTTTTCCCCGTTCCCGAGATATAGCCTTGCAAAGAAAATGACTATTTTGACATGTTTCAGCCTTATTGTGGGCTACGTGTAAAATCTATATTATTCTTTCAAACAGACGCAATCATCTTGGAATTTACTCAATAAATGTTTAATAGGTATGCTTGAAAGTGTTGTCAACATTAACCGGAATTTGATCAGCTTGATGACTTTATTTTTACGAAGAGTTGCGTTATATCATTTTGAAATACGGGGATAAATCGGCGAACGAGACTCTATCTTGAAAATTAATTTCCTCAAATACATTATCAATTATGATAGGAAACATGATACGGCTTTTGCGTTAGCAGCGATGAAAATGGTAAGGAGTGAATGTATTGACTTAATTGAGGGCGACGAAAAGGACATTACAATAATTTCAGACGGCGCAGCTGCGCATTTTAAAAATTGGTTTCGGTTTCGCGAATTGGGAAGCGATGGCGATACAGGCAAGTGGATTTTTTCTGCGATGGGGCATTGAAGGGGAGCATGTGATAGCATAGGGGGTTTATTAAAACATTATGTTACAACGCATAACTTGTCGTCATCGCCGACCGAATGTATAAAAAATGCTAATGATTTTGTAACATATGTAAGTAAATATACAAGTAAAATAAGAATAATGCTTTTGAAAACTGAAGAACTTCAGAAATTCTAAGCTGATAAGGTCGCGGAGTGGAAAGAAGTTCAATCAATTGTTGGCATTCGCGATAGTCATATTTGGCGAGTAATCCGCAAGTCAGATAATGAAGGCAATACCAATGTTGAACGATCTATGAGAAAAACGAACAAGCATGAGTAGCTTAAAGTTATATGCTGAACAATAATGAGTGCGTCTGGTGGTCTGTTATTATTATTATAATATTATAATATTATTTTTATTATTTTATTAAATATTATTTTATTATAATATTATTTACATTTCCATTATTACCCGTTATTTAAGTAAAGATTCCCAAATGATTGTGAAATAACAGTTTTAAATAAAATAATGTATTTTATGTAACTATTACTTCTCAATTTTATTTCTAATCACATTTCTTATTGACTTACCTACGACCATTAATTTATAGGCGATGAAATTTTAATATACAACAATACAATATGCTTTTACTCAGCGCATAAAACACTGAATGACATAAAAATCAGCAGACCGTTTCTCATGAACGGGGCAAAATGGCATTGTACCGTTCGGTGGACATATAGCTTATAAGGCCCTGAACAACATATCCAAAATTCAAAGAAATCAAGCGTGATGTATTTGAGGAAATCAATTTTCAAAATAGAGCCTTGTTCGCCGATTTATCCCCGTATTTCAAAATGATATAACGCAACTCTTCGTAAAAATAAAGTCATCAAGCTGATCAAATTCCGGTTAATGTTGACAACACTTTCAAGCATACCTATTAAATATTTATTGAGTAAACTCCAAGATGATTGCGTCTGTTTGAAAGAATAATATAGATTTTACACGTAGCCCACAATAAGGCTGAAACTTGTGAAAATAGTCATTTTCTTTGCAAGGCTATATCTCGGGAACGGGGAAAATTGGCATATTGTCGCTTGACAGAAAGATAGCTTATGACGTCCTAAAAAATATATCCAAAAATTAAAAAAATCGAATATGTGTTTTTTGAGAAATTCGATTTTCATAAAAAAGTAGTTTTTTTTGGTTTTTTCAATAAAAAAAAAAAAAAAAATTTTAAATAATCAAAATCTGAATGGAGAAAATGAATGCTGTTTAAATTCCTCACATTTGAAAAAAAAAACGGTTCGCGTACGATGGCTTGGGTGAAAATGGCGACCATTTAAAACACAGTAGTTATTTCTGCATTTGAAATAACGCTTATACCCTATCAGCTTTGTTATAGCACTACAGGGCTTCAAAACGGGTTTTCGCACAAAAGAAAAAACACGTATCTAATGAAGTTCAATGTTGATTAATATCCCAAAGTTTCAAAAAGATCGTAGAATTCATATGGAATGGGCCAAACATAATAGTTTTAACTTAATTCATATTAATAAGTTGTTATTTATGTTTCAAGCAGGTACGGAAGGAATACCGTAAATTTGTTAGGCGGCATGCATGGCTTCCTCGCTGTCTACGCTGTTCAAGGAATCCAACGACAACCAGTGGCAGCAGCGGTGGTGGTGGTTGTGCTGGCGGTACTGGATCTGCCGGCTCTGGTAACTCACTTGGGTCTAATCTTCAAGGCCAAGGTAACAACAAAGAACTCGCTCATTGCAACACTTCATCGAATCCTTCCGGCCCAAGCACTGAGTGTTCTGGCCTGTCAGCTAGCCATTTTCAACAACATCACCACCAGCACCAAGATCAGCAACATCTTTCACAACCACAGTCACATCTGTATCATCAGCATCAACAGCTCGCCCCAGGACATGTGGGTAGCAACAAGCCTTCAACTTCACCCTCATCTCCTTTGGGTGCGAATCTTTCGATAAATCTCGCGCTAGCTCTCAATAGCCATGCTCAAATACATCAGATGCATTTCGTCACTCCCAGTAATCACGACAGGCCACAGCTCAACAGCACCCACCAGCAAGGTATCCAAGCGCAGTTTTTGCACCAAACCCAGCCGCACCTTTGTGCCACGTTCACCTATTTTTAAAGTTTGATGCTACTTGATCTAAATAACGCGATACATTTTCCTATTTACAGTGCCGCTCAGCCACTTTTACCCCCCCACGGGCAAAATCAGTCTAACTTCAAAGTTTTATATCTCTGGTAGAAATTAACGTACAGAGACGCGCGTGGATGCGTTTGAAAGGTCTTTCGGAGAGCTTTCAAATGATATGACTCACGGTTGCCATCGATTGTTTTTTTAAATTTTGCAACAATTATGCAAAATTGAAAATTCTGAAATTTTGTTATTATTTTTGACAATTAGCCAATTTTGGAAAAAAAATCGTACGAAAATTTGAAGTACACCATTTTTTAGCTATTACCAAGCCCTATCTGAATCACTCATCAAAAATTTATTTTCGTCAAATATGACGCGCGCACGGGCATTTTTTCCTGGGAGTGACAGTTTTTTTCAACATTTTTTATCTCCGTCAAATTGTAACAATCGAAAAAAATTTATAGGAGAAAAAATGTTTGTTTTTTCACGTAGAATACTGCAATAATTTTTTTTTCGGTTTTTCGAAAAATTTTTTTTTTCGGTTTAAATTATTTTTCAAGGTCGAAAAAAAAAAAGATTTTTTTTTTTGATGTAATTTACGATACTTGTTATGTAGTATTATTGAATGGGTGGAAAAAAAATTTTTTTTGTGGTTTCTCATCTTTTTAGTGTACCGACTGTGAGAAAAAAAAATTGAAAAAAACCGAAAAAAAAAATTTTTCGAAAAACCGAAAAAAAAATTATTGCAGTATTCTACGTGAAAAAACAAACATTTTTTTTCCTATAAAATTTTTTCGATTGTTACAATTTGACGGAGATAAAAAATGTTGAAAAAAACTGTCACTTCCAGGAAAAAATGCCCGTGCGCGCGTCATATTTGACGAAAATAAATTTTTGATGAGTGATTCAGATAGGGCTTGGTAATAGCTAAAAAATGGTGTACTTCAAATTTTCGTACGATTTTTTTTCCAAAATTGGCTAATTGTCAAAAATAATAACAAAATTTCAGAATTTTCAATTTTGCATAATTGTTGCAAAATTTTAAAAAACAATCCATGGCAACCGTGAGTCATATCATTTGAAAGCTCTCCGAAAGACCTTTCAAACGCACTCACGCGCGTCTCTGTACGTTAATTTCTACCAGAGATATAAAACTTTGAAGTTAGACTGATTTTGCCCGTGGGGGGGGTAAAAGTGGCTGAGCGGCACTGTATGACTATCTTACCCACGTTTGTTCTATTCTGTTACAGCATTTATGAGGCACAATTATTGCCTCTAGTCGTTAGCGCTCCATTGATGCTTGTCAATTTAATATCACTTTGTATTTTTACCTCAAGTATCATGAAATACGTACATATGTTTTTGTTCGTACCCTTAGCGATATGCAGTAACACGTCCTATGTTGGATAAATCTTTACCATAGAATTTCTAATCTGATAACTCTTCGTTAATTATTTCTATATAAAATATACAAAATTAGATTTTTAATTTCCGTTCTGCGAGTTAAACATATTATTTTGATTTTTTATTTTCAATTTCAACCATCAATATCATTCCATTACATGCGCTCCTAAAATTTTCTATAGAACATTAAGTTATATGATATTTTTAACTTTTTTCATAAAAAAATTAAATGTATAGACAATTTCACAGTAAAAATGTATTGATTCAATTTCATTTTTCTTGAATGTTTGAATAATGCTCTCACTAAACGCTTAGAGTGCACGCTTTTCATTTTTTAAGTTTATTACTCTATGAAGTGTTGCTCATCCGAAAATGATTTGGATCTTGACCTCGCATACTCGTAATATCCTGTTTTAAAAATATTGACATTTATTTTTAATTTTGTCAATTTGAAAATTTGGCAAATATTTCGCTAAATAAATGCATGTTTTGCGGTCTTCATCATGCATTGTTCACAGCCAGACTCCAAAATATAATCAGAATGAAAAATTTATTCACACTCATTTTTATTATTTTTATTGCTCAAATTGAAACACACAGTACTGAAATTCAAATTTGAGATACGTATTGCACTTGTGATATTTATCATCTGATATTTATCATACTGGTTTCTATAATTACATAATATCACACTTTCAGAATTTATTTAACACAAATTTTAACTTCAAATTTATTAACATTATTTTTTAATTTAACTTTAGAAATTATAATGAAGTTATAAAAAGTTTCATATGTTTGTTCCATAAAGTACATCGACAAAATATGTTTAATATTCATATTATAGATCTGCTTTACGATTTTTTGCTTATTATATTCGAAGTCCATGAATGTATTAATTTATTTTATAAAAAATATATTATAATTTCAAAAAGTAAAATTAAGAGACATCTGTAAATGAACGTATTTTTAAATCTATTATTAATATTGTGCGATGGTTCAAAATCGACTTAATCGATAGAACTGAGAATATACAAAGATATTTTCCGATTTATTAAAATAATTTGCTTAATAATTAAAATATGAAACTCATATTTTTGCGATAATGTTTTAGTGTTAATACTTCTAATCACCCTATAAGATTATTAACCGAAAAAAATAAAGTGTAATTTTCTGGTAGATTAGAGATTTAAAAACTTGATTTTTTTGAAAATTAAATAAGCGTTATGTAAAAGAAGTTGTAGCACATAAAAATAAATACTCAAAACATTTTTCATATGCATATAACAGTAAGAAAAATAAAGTGCATACACTCATGAATCATGATATATATTTATATAGTCACATAGAAAGTACATCGAAATTCAGTTATTGTAGAGTAAAAATCTAATTAACCCTAATATTATTCGTGAAATAATTTCACCGAGAAGTTTCTCAATACGGTGCGCTCATTTCTTGTGTCAATGTAAAATCAATTTTGAATTTCTAAATATGATTCAAAGAATAATAAACTATAAGTCTAAGTTTAACAACACTTGTTTACATTATTGGCGTTTCAATTCATCATCTTCTAGATTATTTCAATTTTTCAACTATCACTGAATCAAGTTAGTGCTTACACGCTCACGCATATGGACAGTTTCACAAGTCATTAGATCAATATGACTGTCAAATTTTTTTTTATATATCAATGCAACTGCGTTATTGAATTATAGAACTTAAAATCTAATTGGTAGCAACATATTGAAAATCTGCTATTTTTTCAGTTTTCAAAACTATTCTAATATTTTTGAATCATGAAGGAACTTTTGTAAGTACACGTACGCAGGCACACCCACATACACAAGCATGCACACACGCGCGCACGTACGCACGCGCACGCACACACACACACACACACACACACACACATTATAATGGTGAGTCAAATAAATATTTATTTAAAACCGTTAAGAAATGAATCGTCCCTCACTGCAAGGCTAACCGCTGACTCAATCTGTTTGTATACTCGCTGCTGTAGCACATATATTTCACCCTACTAGGAACGTGAACTAAAGAGCGAAATTAAATAAGAGATGATTCGAATATGCTTATAAGTTTTTACTGCAGACGAGAATAAGTGGAATGGTATACATTTAACAGGTATACATTAAGCATGACAGAAATAAAAGATCGACGGAGGGCTGTTATACTTTGCTGCTACCTCTTGTGTATCGCTTGTGATAGCTTTCGCCGCGCAGTCTATGGGACTTCCAGCCTCTCTGAATTCATCTATCTACTACTTCCTCAAGGATATCGGCGCTTTTCTCCTCGGGTTGCATCAACACTACGCTATTTTTATCGCGAGGCGCAGTGTCTCGTTATACCAATTTTTTTTCGTTGCGTGTCGTTCTACTATAAAAGTACTTCTACTTCACGCTTGTTTTTAATGCATATTCCCGAATGTCAGTCTCTCTCGTGTTTGTATTCTTTATTCTCTATCGCGGTTCCTCTTTGAAATAGATGCGCGAATGGAGCTTTATGCAGACAATCCTCAATATGAAGTGCTCCGAGCTGCAGAAAAACACGGAGAGATCCGTGATCCTATTATTATCCCAGTTTTGTTACTTGTTTTTATTTTCATGGAACATGGAGAAGAGCACAGATGTCGAGCCTCCTCTGATCTGTCTGCTCGTAAGTAACACCCGCACTGCAATTCAGGACGATATTTACTATTTGGTGGCCTCGTCTTATCCGGATAACTCCCACGTGGTTGCAGTTGAAACAGCTGAACAGCCTCGGCACTTCCGTTAAGTGCGGAATGATTCCTCAGGCGAAAACAAGAGTGTTTGAGGCAGTGGCACTGTTGGAATAGACACCATATCGGGGGTAGCACCATCACCTGAGTGAAAGCTGATGGTAAATCCACCTGCAGCTGTCACGTTCACTCTGCGGCCGTTACCGAGCCCAGTCCCTGGAGGATTGATGCATTGAAGGAATCGGTTCTTGAGAATCGAAGGGGCTCTAATTAAATTGCATTGGGGTCCTTGGACTCCCGTCGAGAGCCATAATGGTCATGTGTCCTCTTGGCGAGCCCACACGTGTTTACTTTAAGAGTTTACCTGCGAGTTCACTTTCCAATAACCAAGAAACTTGCTGAATCTTCTATAAACAGAGCGCCGTAAGTGACTGACGAAGGTCCACGCTTATTCCACCCCAACGCCCATTTTTCCTTGAGCGTGGACTAGACGGTCCATTTTAGCGAGTTGGTCGGTCAGTCTTCCAGCCCGTATAACCGTGTCATGTTGGTTGTTATCGAATGTCGAGGATTACTCAACGGATTACTCATTAGTTTGTGTCAATAGTCGATGCCGGAAGTC